ATCAGGTGCCCTAACTCATTATAATTGTCCTCCTGGTTTTGCATATAAACTCCATGCTTGCCAGCTGCTTAGAAAAGCCAGACTTGTGGTATGTTAACAGTGAAACTAAAAATAAAGAAATGTGGCATGGTTTCCATGGGCCAGGTATAGAATAGATCTCATAGTCAGCATTCAAAACCTTTAGAGGCTCCCATGAAGCCCTAGTGGATCCATTTGAAACCAGTCCTAAATATTACACGTTTCTCCAGGTTGGATATATATGTTCACAGGACTCAAAGGAAATCCCACCAAAACAAGTCTGTATTGTGATAGATTTGTCTAACCTCTGCTATTACCTTAGATTTGTCTTTTGACTAGTTATTTCAATATTAGCCAATTCTGGTGTTTAGTTATTACAGAATCACAAGATGGCTGGGGTTAGAAGGGGCTTCTGGAGGTCATCATGTCCAACCTCCTTTTCAAGCAGGGTCACCTAAAGACACTTGAACAGGACCATGTCCAGATGGCTTTTGAGTATCTCCAAGGATGGAGAATCCTCAACCACACTGGGCAACCTGTGCTGGTGCTCAGTCACCCTCACAGTGGAAAACTGTTTCCTGGTGTTCAGACGGAACCTCCTATGTTTCAGTTTATGCCCATTGCCTCTTGTCCCATCACTGGATACCACTGAAAAGAGTCTGGCTCCATCCTCTCTGCACCCTCCATTCAGGTATTTATAGACATTGGTAGGACCACCTCTGGCCCTTCTCTTCTCCAGGCTGAATAGTCCCAGCTCTCTCAGCCTTTCCTCATATGAGAGACCTTCAGTCCCTTAATCAGCTTCATGACCCTTTGCTGGACTGTCTCTAGTAGCTCCATATCGCTTTTGTACTGGGCAGCCCAGAACTGGAGCCAGCACTCCAGATGTGGCCTTACTAGTGCCAAGTAGAGAGGAAGGATCACCTCCCTCAACCTGTTGGCAGCACTCTTCCTAATGCAGCCCAGGATACTGGTGGCCTTATTTGCCACAAGGATACATTGTCGGCTCATGTTCAACTCAGTGTCCACCAGGACCCCCAGGTCCTTTTCTGCAAAGCTGCTTTCCAGCTGGGTGGCCCCCAGCATATAGTGGTGCCTGGGGTTGTTCCTCCCCAAGTGAAGGTATTTGCACTTTCCCTTGTTGAACTTCATGAGGTTGCTGTCAGCCCATTTCTCCAGCCTGTCGAGGTCCCTTGATGGCAGCACAACCCTCTGGTATATCAGCCACCCCTCCCAGTTTTGTGTCATGCTTGATGACGGTACACTGTGTTCCATCATCCAGGTCATTAATGAAGACATTAAACAGGATTGGACCCAGTATTGACCCCTTGGGTACACCACTCATTACTGGCCTCCAACTGGACTTTTTGTGCTGCTGATCTCCACCATCAAGGGCCTGGTTGTTCAGCCAGTTTCCAGTCCACCTCACTGTCTGCTCATCCACTGCATTTTTTTAATGGTTAAGGAAATTACAGATGATTATTGCCATTTTCTCCTTAGGCCACTCTAAAGTTTCTCATTCTGCTCGTTTGCCTGTGACTCTAAATAACCTGGCACAGATCTTTGCATCTCATACGAAGTTTCCAGTGTAATTCTATGTTTCACAGAGACTTTACAGAAAAGCCAGTAGTAACTGAACATTGCAGGAATCTATTATTTGTGGAATAGGTTGTAATATATCACCAAAGGGAATTTCTGGATATCATTTTGTTGGGTTTGGTTGGTTTTAAAGAGATGTTCAATGTTTCAGGAAAGAGCCACGGAACGTCTTTTGGATGCAAGGTCTTCCATTTATATAACCTTTACACATTTTCTCATTTCTTATGAAAATTCCTGGTTTTCTTTTCACATACTTCATTTCCCCATTAAGGAGATTCCCATAAAAATATGTACATGTCTTGCATTCCCCTCAAGGCCAATTGCCTCCTATTTTTCTCTCTCATTATAGGTGATCAATCTTATTTTTCACAGCAAAATCTTCCTGTCTTGGAGGTTTTCCTAATGGGAACATGATTTTCATCAGGACTATCTGTCTGTCGGAAGATCTAGCCAGTCAGTGTTTAGATATCATGAAAAGGGTTCTGACTCAGCCAGACTGATAATAACAATTTGATTGAATTACATACAGAAGAGCTGCTAAAGTATAATCTGTTTAATGGTAGACTATTTAAAAACCAAACATTTGCTGGGTAAATAGGCTTAAACATGGCAGAATTTTCAGCATCTCGGGTAAGATGTTATTTACAGATTGTTGTTTTTATTATAATAATATTGGTATACTATTCATGTTTAATGAAGGGTGTCAGGTGACATAGATTTTATTTCACTATCCCTCTTGAGATGTTGAAAGGTCGCAAAAAAGATTATTTTTCAAAACTGAGCAAGATCTACCATATGTCTAGAATTTTGACAGACTGTACGCATCTATGTGCATTGTTACCAATGTTACTGTATGGTTAACAAATGAGAACATCCTTTCAGAATTGTTTTGTGGGTCAAATTGCATGGTCTAGATTACTCTTCAGTTTGGATTCTTGCTACCAGTGGTCCTTTGTATAAGAACTCCTTTGTCGTGGTTTAACTCAAGCCAGCAACTAAGCACCACACAGCTGCTCACTCACTCCCCCCCACCCACCCAGTGGGATGGGGGAGAAAAGTGGGAAAAGAAGTAAAACTCGTGGGTTGAGATAAGAATGGTTTCATAGAACAGAAAAAAAGAAACTGATAATGATAGTGATAACACTAATAAAATGACAACAGTAATAATGAAAGGATTGGAATGTACAAATGATGCACAGTGCAGTCGCTCACGACCCGCCAATCGACAGCCTGTTAGTCCCCAAGCAGCGATCCCCCACCCCCACTCCCCCCAGTTTATACACTAAATGTGACGTCCCATGGTATGGACTACACGGTTGGCCAGTTTGGGTCAGGTGCCCTGGCTGTGTCCTGTGCCAACTTCTTGTGCCCCTCCAGCTTTCTCGCTGGCTGGGCTTGAGAAGCTGAAAAATCCTTGACTTTAGACTAAACACTACTGAGCAACAACTGAAAACATCAGTGTGTTATCAACATTCTTCGCATACTGAACTCAAAACACAGCACTGTACCAGCTACTAGGAAGACAACTCTATCCCAGCTAAAACCAGGACATCCTTCTATGGGAGAAATCCTGTCAGGAGCTTTTTCTCCTTCTTTCCACCTCTGTACTTTGTTAATGTGGTGGAGTGTTTTCAGTAAATCAGACTGATCCTTGCAAACTCAGCAAAAGGAAGATAGGTAATGGTTACACTAGACACAGTTTGGAAGTTAATTTGGACCAGTAGTCAAAGTAGGTTTCCTTTAAGTATCTTGCTGTCAGCACTAGATATCAACATCTGAGTACATTAACTGCAATATTTAATTATACTTAGTGTTGCTGGTTATCATATCTATCTACTGATCTACAAAACTGCTTAGCAATTAATGCTAATTGCCTACGCAGTTATATTTGCAGTCCCTTAAGTTCATGAGTATTTACTCACGATTTATATTCTGCAACTGTAAAAGATAACTGGGAAGAACAACAGCAGCCTGGTTATAGAGGGACAGTTTAAAAAAGTGATTTTGCAACTCCAATTTTTGAAGTCAACACATTCTGCCTCTTCAGGTTAAAATGGCTGATCTTGCTTATAGAGCACTAGACTTCTTCAGGATATTATTTGGTTATGATTCTTATTGTCCTGACTCAACTAAGGCTAGAGGGGAACAGCAGTTTTTGTGGTGGGTTGGTTTTGCGGGGTTTTTTTTCATTTGATGCATTTCCTACTTCCAAACTTTCTCTTAATTGTTTTATTTATAGCTTTTTCTGCACTGACCTAATCCTGAAACAATAAGATCAGTTCCATGAGTAGACTACATGCCTCACACTCTACCTTTTTTTTCATCTTGTCCAATCCTTTTGAGGCCTGGGCACTATGTTTGTGGCTCAGGAGAAGCTTAATGCAGAGTGTTTGTATATAAGTGTTTATCGTTGATTTCAGAAGACCAGGTCCTATCAACTTTCCAGAAAAAAAGTAAAAGCCAGCAGATTTCTCTTGTGTTTTGGGGTTTTTTTGTTTGTTTGTTCTTTTTCTCTCCTGAAAATGAGAAAAACAGTGCAGAACATTCATTTTAAGTAGAAAAGCAGTGCAAGTGATAAAAGCCATCCAGACAAGACCAGTCTATTCTGAAGAAATCATCTTCTCTTGAAATACTTTAGCCTCTTTCACATTTCTGGTTTTGGGCAGTACCTTCAAACTGGGCCAAATTTTGTGAAATGATGGTTTGTCTATGGATAGTTGTCTACTGAAGCATAGGTCTAAGACAAAACTGATTTCACTTATGTGTTATATCTGGCTGTAAAAGCATGATACAAAGCATCTCAGTAAATATAATCATGCTTATCTGATTGAAAATAGCACATGTATTAGACTTATTACCTGGTTAGCACAATGGTAAATCCTTATGGGATTTATTCCAGGAAGGCCAAATGGATGCTTCTGACAAAGAAAGTGTCTCCTCTTTGTGAATAGGGATGGCAGAGTATTCATAAACACAGAATGAAATTTAGATTTCTGTAGATAAGTTGCAAAATGCAAAATAGGCAAAAGGATTCTGAATGGATCTGTAAATATATCCTCTTTCATTAGACTGATGTATTAAAATATCATGTGGTTAGCTGTGTGATGTTCTTGCTTGCTAGTGTATGCAGAAATATTTTTGAACTCACTCTTCTGAAAGAGAGATAGAGAAAAGCAGGATTTTGTAACAGAAAAAAAAGAACTTGGTATGATAGTATCAATAATTTCTGCATTAACAGTGTGTTGCCATAGTTTTGAAACATTTCTCATTTCCAAGAAATATATGTATAATTATATCACTGAAGTGCATTGTCAAATTTTAGCACATTGACATTATAGCCAAGATATTGAACAAAACTAATTATCTCTTTCTCAATTTTTAAGATCCAGATTTTAAGGACCTTGGCATTTTGAAACCATTGCCAGGTTGGTATGTTGTTTTGGTTTTTTTTTAACTTGGAGGCCTTTGCACTCTGCTGTAGAAAATATTTTTGTTTGCTGTTCAGGTTTCATTTTTTCTGGTATTTTGTTATTCAGTTTGTGAGTTTGAGATGGGAGGACCTGAAGGAATTGTGGAATCTGTACAAATTGTCAAAGAAGGAAAAGCTTCTGAAACTGAAGCAGTAGACTGTAAATGGTACATCCGAGCACCACCCCGATCCAAGGTCAGTCCTTCATCCACTTGCTGATTTGCCATTTAATTTAAGAAATTGACTTTTCTAATATGTTGTGCATTTCTTAGTACAGTCAGATCTTGTTTAATAACTTTACAGCTTGAACTTGTAAACTATTTTTTTCCTTCTGCTGTGGAAGGGTAATTTGTCATCTCAGCCAAAATAACCTTCTTTCTCTATAAATAATGATGTGGGCAGCGTTAATGTGCTTTTTGTGCCATAAGTAATTTTCTTAAATTCATCTTTAATTTTGCTCATATTTTTAAAGAATCAATGTGTTTTCTTAAGTGGGAGGTAATCTTATCACTTTAATTTTCAATATATTTCAAATACCTCATATAGACACTACTAAGGGAACACTGCTGGCTTCCTAAGGTCTTCATTGTTTCTCATCTGGGAACTGTGAAAATGGAGCCAAGGTAAATTCACATTCCTGTGTATGAGACCTTTAGTTCCTTTGGTTTAGAGCCACAGACAAAAAGAGATAGTGTTCTCATTTCTCTCCCACCACAGTCAGCAAGCCATGCCTTTGTAACAAACAGGAGAGGGTTGCAATTAATTTAACAATTCTTTTCTTGGATTATCTTTGAGTTCCTCTCTTATCTGTGGCTTATCAGTTATTATATGGATTAATTGCTGCTGGCTACATTACTGTTTCTCCTCTCTTTGCAATTGGAACAGCTTTGTGTCTCCCACCTACTTTCATTCACTGAGTTAAAGACAACTCCATATTATATTTATTTCTAGATGTCTTTTATTGGACAGGAAAGGTTTTACAAGGTAGGATTTATATATCCAATAATCTCTGCCGTCTTTAAAGAGATAAGAGTTTTTTGTGTAATCTCAGAGCAGACCGTACTGAATATATCTAACTGTTTCAGCATTTGGTATTGAATAAGGAGGAGGAAGGGTTTCCAGAAGAGAAAAAGTCATTAGTATCAGCATTTTTCTATTGTGAACGTTTAGGAGCGTAGTTGAATAGTTGGCTCATAAAGACTACAGATAAATTATTTCCAGAATATACTTTAATCTCTTTTTTTTTTTTTAACTTTTGGATAAATTCAATATTCATAGAGGTTTTCAATTAAGTAGATGAGTTTCCCGCTTTGCTGCAGTAAGTAGCTATAGACATGAAATGACTGAACTGATGAATTATTATTGCATATGTTATATACTTAGGTATTAATAGAAAGAAAACAGGTATTATTATTGCATATGTTATATACTTAGGTATTAATAGAAAGAAAACAGGTATTATTATTGCATATGTTATATACTTAGGTATTAATAGAAAGAAAACAGGTAAACACAAAACTAGAATTGTGCTTATTAGAATCAGTACAACTAAATAAGCCAATAAAATTGTCCTATAGTCTTAGTTTCAGTTTATGCTTGGTTAGTCAGATAATGTCATTGTGATATTCTTACTTGATCTAACTCTAAAGTTCTGTACGATTCAAAGTCCTGCTAGAAATGTTTATTTACCTGTAGGATTTATCCACATTTCAGTCGTGATGTAAAAATACAAATTGTGTAGCTGCATGACTGTAAACACAGTGTGTAACAGAAGAATGCCACACTACCACTGTTAATAGAGGATTAAAGACTGTTTCGTTCTTCATGAACTTCTGTACCTGCATTTAGTTGTGTATACCAAGAAGTGTATACCAGCTGAAGAGCATCTGGAAGGGAGAGTGATGAGAGAGTTCTAGAAAACCTGTGGAAACACTGGAAGTTATTTAACGTCATCTAGAAGATTTTGTGAAGGAGCATGATACCAGATAATAAAAGGCTTAATACAATGAGGAAGGAATACTGTGTTGTCCATGTCTATGGGATAAGCCATGGTCCTGCACTCCAAAAGAAAGATTCAGGTTAGATACTAGGGAAGAAAATTTCAAACACCAGGGAGAGGATTAGGGATGATTGGTTAAGGAAGTTTGTTCAGCCAGCATTGCTACCCGTCTTAAAGTGCAGGTTAGGTAATGAAACATTACTAATCCTACCTGCATTTAGGCAGAAGGGTGGGGTGGGTCATCTCTTGATAAATCTTGCTGCTCCCGTCTTACAGAATTCTCTGGGTAGAGAGATAGGGCAATATAAAAGCATATAAATCAGTGTTTCCTAACATGTGGAGTTGAAAGCTTTTTCAGCAAGCCAGGAAAAAAAAAAAAACAGTTTTCAAGCCTAGATTCATCTTAGAGGGCTAAGTCCAATTTAGCACTTGAACTGGATTCTATTGTCCATATTTTACAGTCAGCTTCCTTTGTGCTTATCTAACCTTGAACTAGCGACATATTCAGTACAATCATTCAGTGACATCATTCTAATTTATGGCAGCTTGCACCTATGAAAGCAGGCTCTCCTGCTAAGAACAGTAAGAACTCAGCAGATGTCTTTAAATCCACATGTTCCTGTACTCTGGGCTGCACAGTTTGTTGCTGGGAACTGTGCCTAAAAGGCCAGAGTTTCTCAGACAGGGTTTGGGTTGGATCTTTACATCTTTAGTTTCTTAATTAAACTGTGCCAGAATGTGGGCTGCTTGCAATTTCATTTGGCTTAAGCTCATCCAATCTAAACTGTCTGCAGAAGCAAGATGCAAGTCCTTTCCTTGGTTTGCAGTTGCAGATTCAAGCCAAGTCTGAGCTCAACATATGAGCAATGAGATCAGTCAGAGAGTATGAACTTGAGATGTCTATGTCTGAGCTTCAAACTGACAGTCTGGGTGTAAGGTTGCTGCTATCCTCAGCAAGCTGGAATGGGACAGAGAACAGCACGTTTCTTGCACACACTTAAATAGAGCCGTAACTGATTACCTTAGAGCACAAAAAATAAAATGCTGACAATGCATGCAGAACTGAAACTTTTGGGAAGTGCAGAAGACAGTAGAAGGCAGTTTAAACACGACTTCAATCTATACACAGACCTGGAGCCTTATATTTGACAGTGGCTGGTTGCAAAGTGTGTGTTTCTTGTAATCCTTCGAAGTCAGTTCCTGCTAAGATAGCTGTGAATCTGGAGTTCAGAAATACTGTCGGTTCTGCACTTCGTGTAGAAGCTGACTTCAGTTGGTAATCAGAGCGAGAATGGGAAATTAAGAGAGCTGCTGATCGAATGTGCCAACCCACTCAGAACAGTAAAGAGCTGGAGGAACCTCTCCGTCCCCAAATTCTTCACTGTAGAACAAAGCCCAAACGAGGAAGTGGATAAGCTTATTGCGCTGGGATTTGAAAAACTTCAGAGATATCATTGGCTACAGCAGAGGATCAGCAAGGAATCTCTATTTATGAATAGAAAACAAGAAAATGAAAAGAATGATAGTATTTTCTCACTTTCTGTTAAGGGTGAGATGTTGGAGGATAATATTGACGACACGCATTTTTCGATATTGGATGTGTTAGCAGAGTTTGACAAGACCCCCCAGGAAAACAGAACACATGTTTGTGCTCAAGTAGCTCTCCCTTTGGTGGGTAACTTTCCCAGCAAGGTACCATTGTATCATGCTTGTTCCCCAAGAGGTTTTGTAGAAAAAAACAAGACAGCAGAATTTGACAGTAAAAGTAACAAAACGTGTACAAAGATGGTGTTCTGATGCTTGGAAAAAACAGCAAGCAGTGCTTATAATCAGAAGCTCTGGGCAGCTTGGGAAAGAGCATCCAAACTACAGATAGACAAGCATTAATTTGAATCCAGTCCAGTGGACGTCATCTGTTCAGGAGGAACGAGCAAGAGGTACATTTAGACTGAGCAAATAGTGAGGCTACCCTCCACGTGTACACTACACGAAATAAAATGAAGTTGTAAGCTAGTTAGACAAAGAGATGCTTAATTCTCCTGCCCCACCTGAGCATGCTGCTGAGTGAAGAAGACCTCTTTACAGGTTATAGGACGCAAGACTTAACAAAAAGCTTAAGAAACTGAAAGGATTAGTTAGTGAGTATCTAGTTTTGATATATTATTGCAGAGGAGAGCCGGGCAGGCCCGGCCATGGCAGCTGGGCTGTGGTGGTGGCTGGGCTCGCCCGTGGCCATGGGGCCAGCCCCAGCTTTGGCCAGGCAGCAGCTCGGCGATGCGTGAGGCTGGAGTGGAGAGGCGCGAGGCCAGGCGTGAGCCAAAAGCCCAAGTGGGACCAAGATACTTGCATGTTTACAAAGGATAGGTATTGCTACCTGGTAGAGGCTCTAAATCACTTGTCACTGTTTTCACGGTCGACCTTGTATGCGTGTACCTGACCAAATAGAGAGATGAAGCTTTTGGTTCCAGGTGCCTGACTTCGGACTGACTGTAGTCTGGAGAGAGACTGGGTTGTTGGGCATGCATTGCCTAGACAGTTGGGAGGAAACACGTGGTGAAGCAAATTGCAGAGCTACAAGTCTTTATAAACCAATCTGACTAAACCAAAACATTTTCTGTTCTCACATGTGAAGTGGAAGCTTGTGCTCGTGGATGAAGACCTGCAATAAAAACAGTTTAAGCTGTCAGCACTGGCAGACTAGCATGTCCCTAATTCTTGGAGGTTTCTTAATCAGGTGTAGAAGAGAAGCTTTAAGCAGTACACTAAAATTCAATAGAAGCCATTTGAGTGGTAATTCCTGAAATTTTACAGAAAAGTGAAATTTAGAGACTGAAAAACCAATAGCCAGAGACACTTTCACAGACTTCAGATGAGCTCTGTCTCTGAAGAAGCTCTGAAGCTTCCTAATGTACAGATACTGCAAATAGTATTATGAATGAAAAAACCCCAACATATTTATATGGCATCCCTGGAAGAAGGTGAACAAATGATGTTTAAACAAGTAGAAAATAGTGTTTACATATGTTAAACTATTAAAATCACTTATTTGAAACAGTTTTGTTAGATGCAGACATAAGACAAGCATGTGTGTAGAATCTTGTATGTAGAATCTCTTCTAGCAGGCATGGTAATACACATGCCAGAGTAGCACTGAGAAAAAAACACTTTTAAGTTAGCAAGAATCTATTCCATTCAG